GTAAACAGACAATCATGTTGGTTAAATGGACATCTAGTTGGTAAACAAACAACTAGTTGGTAAACAGACAACTAGTTGGCAAACTGACAACAAGTTGGAAAAAATACATATAGTTGGTAAACAGACAATCATGTTTGTTAAATGGACATCTAGTTCGTAAACGGACATCTAGTTGGTAAACAGACAACTAGTTGGTAAACAGACAACTAGTTAGTAAACAGACAACTAGTTGGCAAACAGACAACGAGTTGGTAAACCTACTTCTAGTTGGTAAACAGACATGTAGTTGGAAAACAGACACTTTAGTTGATAATCAGACGGTATAGTTGGTAAACAGACAGCTAGTTGGTAAACGGACAATCATTTTGGTTAAATGGACATCTAGTTGGTAAACATACAACTAATTGGTAAACAGACATGTAGTTGGTAAACATACATCTAGTTGATAAACAGACAGTCATTTTGGTTAAATGGACATCTATTTGGTAAACAGACAACTAATTGGTAAACAGACATTTAGTTGGTAAACAGACAACAAGTTGGTAAACAGACATGTTGTTGGCAAATGGATAACATGTTGGTTTAACAGACAAACAAATATGTTGGTAAACAAACAATCATGTTGGTTAAATGGACGTCTAGTTGGTAAACGGACAACAAGTTGGTAAATAGACATCAAGTTGGTAAACAGACATGTAGTTGGTCAACAAACAACTAGTTGGTAAACAGACAACAAGTTGGTAATCAGACAACTAGTTGGCAAACAGACAATCATTTTGGTTAAATGGACATCTAGTTGGTAAACAGCCAACTAGTTGGCAACCAGACATCTAGTTGGTAAACAGACATGTAGTTGGAAAACAGACACTTTAGTTGATAAACAGACGGTATAGTTGGTAAACAGACAACAAGTTGGTAAACAGACAACAAGTTGGTAAACAGACAACATTTGGTAAACAGACATGTAGTTGGCAAACAGACAAGTTGGTAAACAGACATGTAGTTGGCAACCAGACATCTAGTTGGTAAACTGACATGTAGTTGGAAAACAGACACTTTAGTTGATAAACAGACGGTATAGTTGGTAAACAGACAACAAGTTGGTAAACAGACATGTAGTTGGAAAGCAGACACTTTAGTTGATAAACAGACGTTATAGTTGGTAAACAGACATGTAGTTGGCAAACAGACAAGTTGGTAAACAGACATGTAGTTGGCAAACAGACAAGTTGGTAAACAGACATCTACCGGTAGTTGGTAAACAGACAGCTATTTGGTAAACAGACTTGTAGTTGTTATACAGACGATCATGTTGGTAAAACAAAAAACATAGTTAGTAAACAGATGATCATGATTTATTTTTCATTGTTTTGTTTTCTTTACACCTCAAGACTATTATACCACAAATCAAAACAAACTATATTTCAGTGAGCTACTTTTTGGATAGTTCAAATACTCGTTTTATTCTGACCTTCAGATTATTGAAACTGATGAATGTTTTTGAAGGTTTGGCACGTTTGAGATCCTCAGCGCGCCGATGCGTGATCACACGGGTCGCCTGGACAACATGCGGAGCCTCCTGTGTGGGTTAGGAGCCGGGATAGCTGAGGCCGTGCTCATCGTCTGCCCTATGGAGACGCTGAAGGTTTGGCTTGTTGCTAACTTCTTTCTTTTTGTATCAGCTGTTGGACAGCTTGTAATGTGAATAAATCCTTCCAGGTGAAGCTGATCCACGACCAGTGCTCCATGCGACCTCGGTACCGAGGCTTCTTTGACGGAGTCGGTCAGATCGTCAGAGAACAGGGTAAGACGGCAGGAAGCTGCATCTGTGAGAGCTGGCATGCTTGCCTGTGCACTCATGACCCGTTGAACTCATTTAGGTTTGAGAGGCACATATCAAGGTCTGACAGCCACTGTTCTGAAACAAGGAAGCAACCAGGCCATCCGGTTCTACGTCATGACCTCTTTGAAGAACTGGTACAAAGGTGAGAAGATTTGAACTCCAAACACATTTTGATGCCATGATTCAGTTCTGATTAAAGGTTGTTCTCGTTTGTGCACCCGTTTGGCTCTTCGCCTCAAAGGTGACGATTCCAGAAGGCAAATGCATCCGATTGTGACGGCCATGTTTGGAGCGACAGCTGGAGCAGCCAGTGTTTTTGGAAACACGCCTCTGGATGTGGTGAAGACAAGGATGCAGGTAGGACCCTCCTGATCAGGAGGGTTTTCATGAAGTGGGCTCTGTGAAAACCTGAGTGCGTTGAGGGAAACTGTGTTTTCTGTTAAGAGATGGACGTAATTGAAAGGCTTGATTTTATCACCATGGTAACAGCGAGATCTGTGCACGTTAACCAAACACAACACCCCCTTCACCTTACAACACCCTCACTCAGAAATACAATCTTTTTAAAGAGATAGTACAACACTTCATAATTTCTTATCTGGCAACCCTGCGCTGGCCTGGAAACAAAACACGTCCAACAGAACATGTCACAGCAGAGGACTGTTATGTTCACACAATATTTTTCTGGAAGTTTAATGACTCATTGAAAAAGCCTCTGAATAATCATTTACTGTGTTTAGTCTGTCCAAACATTGAGGAAAATATAACATTTGACCTCTTTTGAATTATCTTTTTATACTTTTTTCATTCATTCAACCTTTATTTAAACAGATAAATCACATTGAGCCTCGAAGACTCATTTACAAGTGAGACCTGTTTGGACAGACAAAAACAGTGGTTAACTGGACACTTGTAGGAGTTGGAGGCGAAAAAAATTCCTATCAGACTTTTTTCTTGGCTGAGAAAAACCCCTAATATTGAAAAAACACCTCGCACAAACAAGCACAGATTTACGAAGACATTCTGCGATCAGAGACGAGAGCGGTCAACAACGTTTATAGATGTTCTCGAGGTCACTGTAATCAGTCAATGTCCTCCGGTGAGATCTATAAACATTCTCGAGGTATGTCAAGAAATGGCCAAGGATAACCTCTATAAGAATCCAGAGTCCTGAAATGATGACACAAAGTTTATTCAGCTGGTTTCATCTGGTTATCAGTTGGAAATTCCTCAGGGAGGGGCTGGTGAGCGTCAGATCACATTTTCTCCAGGCGACTTTAGATAAGATGACCTTCAAGGACAGCCAAGGCGACCAAAATTTAGATAAACACACAGTTGTTTGGGGACAGGCAGAACTTAATGACATCAACCTTCAGTCTGTGTCGGTCTACTCGGTTCCGAAATGTCCAAATTAACATGGCCAACACAGATGGAAACGTGTCTGAGTAAAAATCCCCAAGATCTGATCCATTCAGCCCAAAGCTTTTGAGTCCGGATACTCCAGACATGAACCAAGCCATCATAAAGGCAAGCAGCGTGATCGGGTCCAAATTTGCTGCTGACGACTTCCTTGATTGTAGATAAAATCGGCACCAGCTGAATCCAAAAAGCAGGAACCAGTTATCGAAAAATCCAATTAAATATGCGTCCTTAAAATCCACAGATGGCAGCAGAGATAGACACATCATCAAGTTTTCCAGTCGATGAGATATCCAGCTGCGTACGTGCCAACAGGGTAAATCGTCTCGCCCAAAGCCTGTCTTCTCTTTGAAGAAATGTTGTAAATTGAGTTGAGGGACCAACTGGTCGAAACAAGTCCACAATTATGGTTCGGAAGAAATGCAAGAGAGTCTCACAGCAATTTTCACAGACAGACAGAGCAGCAAAGCAGAGAGGGAGGGGGAGAAGCATCCGATCTCGTGGGGAGCGAGTGGGGAACTTTATTTTTAATTGTGCAAGCCACTTTCTGTTAGACTAAACCTGAAGAATTTTTTTTTGTTCTGTCCACCACCTTAATATGTTACTATTGTTCGAGCAGATAAACGTTAATGTAATGGAGTGGTGTGTTCAAAGGTAAACGTTGACTCCAGCAACAGTTTTCTCTCTGTTATGTTTGTGTTGTTTAATTTGATGTATATTTGTTTTATTCATATCTTTTTGAGAAACCTGAAGGACTACCTGTTCTAATCTTTAGTTTTTTTTGCTGTATTTTTATAATATTTGTTCACTTTATACAATACCCTTGTAGTTTGCTTCTTTTAAAGTTTTTATTCTTATTTTATTGCAGGGTTTAGAAGCCCACCGATACAAAAACACTCTGGACTGCGCCTTCCAGATCCTGAAACACGAAGGACCACATGCGTAAGTAACACACATCCTGACCCTCTTAACTTTTAGTTTGCACCAGCGGACCTCACTTCCGGTCTCTTTCCCGCAGGTTCTACAAAGGCACGGTTCCTCGGCTGGGCCGCGTGTGCCTGGACGTGGCCATAGTCTTCGTCATTTACGAGGAGGTGGTGAAGATGCTGGACGGCGTGTGGAAGACGCAGTGACGCAGGAGGAGGAGCACAGATCAGTGCCTCGCATTACGCACAACCTAACACCTCTATTCTAGCTACTCTGGCGGTCTGCAGCTGACATGTGACCGGTGTCCACACTGTTGCCTGACATTCACGGGACTGACCAGAACCACTCTAAACAGAGGACGGGGAGGGTTGATTCTTCGCTGAAGCAGTCAGACAAAAAGGAAATCTTTTATTTTGAAGGACACAGTCAGAACACCCAGGCTCAGTTTGAAGAATACTACATTTAGAGAAGTATTATTACACAGAACTGTTTAGTTCTCGCCACCAAGTCCGAACCGGATCTTGATTCACTTTTACAGAGCGAACAACAAAGATTCAATTAGATTCAAACTTTGTTTTTGAACCTCTGCAACGCATCTGCACAACTCTTCCACACGCCTCCGCGTTGTCGTGCTTTTGTTGCGTCGACACCAAAACTCACTCGAGTCTTTTCACTCTGTGTCTGGGGAATTACCAAAGGTTCGTAAAAGTATTCACTCGTCATCTTGTTGCCTCACAGCCTGGAATTTAAGAGCAATTTGGCAGGTTTTGTATTGATTTTACACAACAAACCAAATAATTTCAAAGTTGACCCTGCAGCTTTGCCTTTGACCTGTGATGAAGGATGAGCTCCTTCATCTTCATCATCAGTGGAAGCCTTTACCACTCCCAAGGCATTGAACTGAGGCCTTTAGATAAATGTGAATATAATCGTTACATTACTCACAGGTGGATTTTAGGGTGGGGGCTTCAAAGCAGAGGGGGTGAATACTTACGCACACTTCTCAGTTTTGTTTTCCTCATATTAACGTCATTAATGTGCAGAATGACGTGTATGTACTTCTAATCAAACTGAAAATCCATTTACAGTAAATTCCATGTTTTTAGGGCAGTAAATGTACAAATATTGAAGGATTTACTTTCGATGCACTGCGACCATGGTGATGATGATGATGGACACCAGTCCTGGTATTAATACCTTGTAGTGAGAAACTAGAACTAGAAGTGAGTTCATGTTAGATTCTCTGGAAACCACCTTTAATCTTTCGAGTAGATGGCTTGACACGTGTCACGTCTGAGTGGGTTCTGCTGATTTGTTTTCATCTCACCTGCTCCTCCAGATCCATCTTTGTCCCGTCAGTTTAACCTGCAGCATAAGCTCACCGACACCGTACGCTGATTTTACGCACAATGTTTTCTAAATATGTAGTTTTTTTTATTAGCAACCTTAGACATCTCTCTGTAACTCGACACGGTTCTGATTGACCCAGCAGAACCACACGACTCTGAACTTTCAGTGCTTTTTTTTCCCATTTGTTATTGCTCAGCTCATTTTGGCCAGTGAAGCTCGTCCTGACAGCAGCGAGTCTTCTATGGGAACAGAAAGGGTAGCGGCTCATTTTCACTCATTTCAGAACCTTCCTCCAACTCAGTTGGGTCGATTCTGAACAGCAACATAAACATCCTCCAGGGCGTGTTGTCTGAGGTCCTGTTAGACGGGTTTTATTTTGAGGAAGAAAAACTAAAATATAGCCTGACTTTAGCGATGTGATGTACAAGATGACAAATAAACTTCTGACTGAAACACTGATCTGTGACGTGTTGGTTCTGTGGGGAGAAGTGAACGGAAAAAAAATTTCTGATCATATTCACATCAAATGGTGGGAGTCGTTCACTGCATCAACCATTCAAGAGACTGGTGATAAACATTAAAAACGTGATGTGAGGCTGATGCAGAAGTTTTATCAGTGGAGAATAATTCTGTTTATTATAAATTGAACAAGATTTGATTGTGTATCTGTTCTACATGCTGGGAATGGTGACGCAGAGGTTAGAGAAGCCTGTGATCGGGTTCACTCCCTGTACCGATAACAGCAAAATGTGGGTGGGATTGATGAAGCACCCACACCTGCCTCCACCCTTATTTGTCCCAGTCTGGGCTCTTGAGCAAGGCCCTTAACCCCCACCATCTGCTCCCCCAAGTGCCCAAGATGGCAGCTCTCTGCTCCACACAGAGGGCTGTGGTTGTGTCAGGAAGGGCATCTGGTGTAAAAATAATTGCCAAGTCTTCGTGCAAGTTTGTTCGCTGTGGTGACCCCTGACAAAGGGATCAGCCGAAAGAAGAAAAAATAATTTGTTCTACATGCCCAAAAATTTGATCATGATAAACGACGTGAAAATGGTAAAGTTGAAGAAATGATGCACAAAAACAGTCAGCCACTGGTAAAACTGATGGGTGTTTTCAGGAGTGAAGAGCTAAAAATATGTTTAAAAATAAAAAGCTGCTCTGCAGAAACTTGAGATTTTGCTTTGGACAGGCACCACGATGGCTCAGTGGTTAGCACTGTTGCTTCACAGCAAGAAGGTCCTGGGTTCAAACCCTGGTTGGAACTGGGGTCTTTCTGTGTGCAGTTTGTATGTTCTTCTTGTGTGGGTTTCCTCCCACAGACCAAAATCATGCGTGCTAGGCTGCCTTCAGGTCCAGGCCTCCTTTGCAAAAGAGATCTGTGAACTCAATGGGATTTGCTTGGTTAAATAAATATTAAATAAAAATACATTTGAATGACCGCACTGTTAAAATGTTGCATATATTTTGGTACATAAAAATCAAAACTAATAGGAACTCAGATAATTCTTGATCTAAAACATTAAACCAAAGTGAAGTTATATTTGAGTTCTGTTCATGCCGTCACAACTAAAACAGATTCAGCTCCATTTATTCAGGAAGTGTGCTGCATTTATTTATCATAAGTGAGACATAAACAGATTTGTAATACTTCTCAGTAGGACATAAATTTCATGTAAGGTTTGTGAACAGAAAACACACGACCAAAACTAAAACTTTTTTAATTAATCATTATTGTTCAAAAACAATTGAGCGACTAAATCAGGCGTGTCCAAACATTTTCATAGGTGGGCCAGAACTGTCTAGATGAAAAGACTCATGGGCCAGAAAATTTTGAATATAAGAAAAAAACTTTTAAAAAGCGTGATTTGAAAAACTGTCCAGCTGGCAGTCGCTAAAACAGATTCAGACGGTTTGAAGGGACACTGATGAGTTGATCAACTTGTATGTTGATACTTTGTCTTTAAAAAATGTCCAATTTCTCCCCATCAACTATTAAATCAACTAAAATTTTCTTGGAAAACACTTGTTATATTTAGCCATTTTATGAAATATTATCCAAACTTTTAACTTTAGTCAGTAGTTTTGTTGTAGGATAAAAGGATTAATTATAAATATTTGTATTTCACTTAATTTAGTTCATTTTGAGACAATTATTTTCAGCTGTTTTGCAGTCAAATCTAAAAATTACATTTAAAATATATCACCATTAAATCTAAAGAAGGTCTACTTCTGCGGGTCCAAATTATGCTATTCTTTAATTGCAGTCGTGGGCCGCACAAAATCACTCCAAGGGCCGCAAATGGCCCTCGGGCCACACTTTGGACAACCCTGTACTAAACAGACCAGATTTAACTTTAGAATTTTCTACCTGGATTATTGAGCATGCATCAGGATAACCTGTACTAAAGTTTTAATTGGCATTAAATCTTAAATGTAGAATCAAACCCTTCTCTCCCTCTGTGGGTCCAAGGCTCCTCAGTTTTTACCCTTTATTTGGTCCCGTCAGTTAAATATTAACTCTTTAAATGGAGTTGGAGCGTGAGCATTCATGCTTCTGGGACCGTAATGATTTTTCCTCACGGTGGGATACAACAACAGCAGCTCGATGGTTTCACCACAGGTAAAATGTAGAATGTTGCAGCTTTGCTGAGCTCAGAACAGAAGAGATTAAAGGCTGAAGGAGCTGGACTTGAACTTAGAAGACGACATTACCTCGCCCTCCTGGCACCTTTCAGCACATCTGATACGGCTTGGCCGGGAGAAAGGATAAAAAAAGTTTTTATTTTCAGCCTCTAAATGACAAATAAATAAACCTTTTCTTGTTAAAAGTCAAAACATGTTTTTGTATTTATCTGTCCAACAGAGTATTTATAAAATGTTTTAGGGGGGAAAACACCTTTTTTAGTCAGACGTCCATATTTAAATACATATATTCTGATAAATCTGTGTACAGGTTGTAATCTGTCAGTAATCTGACTGGATGAATGCGTCACATTCCCATCCCTGTCAGTCTTACACTGGAAGTACGTTCTCTCTTGGGTTTCAGTCTTTGTATTGTGACCCGACTGGAGTTCCTCAACCCAAAAGACTGAAGGAGGGTTAGATTCTGTCTGCCCCCCTTTACCCCCCTCCTGTCAGGTGGCCAAGCATCACAGGATGTATCTTCTGTCAACGTGTTGAAACAGAGACTTATCTTCTCCATCTGAAAACATGAAAACAAAGTTTAGTTGTGTTTCTTAAGGACAATAATCTGAATGCTTCATGGTGTCACGCTCACATCCTGAGACATTTATCCTTCCCACCACTGGCCACTCTCTGTCCATCAGGGCTCCAGTCCACAGCATAAACCTGAACACACAACGTAAAACCCAATCAACACACACGTGGAAGGAAGAAACCTTCATGAACCCTTTAGATAACTCTGCTTGCCTCATCGGCGTGACCTGGAAGGTCCATGTTGAGCTTCCCAGTTTTAACGTCCCACACCTTGAGCGTGCTGTCGCTGCTGCCGCTGACCAGCAGCCTGCTGTCTGCCGACCACGCTACCTGGTACACAGATCCAACGTGGCCCCGCAGGGACATCAAGTACCTGAGGACAGGCAGAACACAGTTCAGCTTCACACCACCAGCTACTGGACAAACGTGATGGTTCATCGTGAGTTCATCAACAAGGAGAGGAAGTGCTCCGGAGTCTTACTTCCCAGTTCGTCCATCCCAGATTTTGATGGATTTATCGAACGAGGCCGAGGCGAGCAGTCTGGTGTCGGGGGAGAAGAGCACTTCGTTGACCAGAGCGCTGTGGCCCGTCATCCTGGCCAACGGTTTCTTCTCGTTTGCAGGATCCCACATGAATAAGGTGAAATCGTCTGAGCCGGACACCAAGCGCTCTGGAGCTGAACCCTGCAGCACAAGGAAGGAATAAGACACAGACGACATGTTTCACAGGAACTTTTACTCATAAACGTGACTCATACTTACTCTCACTTTATTGTATCTTTGCAGCGCTCTCTCCTTCAACTCATCCACTGAGAAGAGACAACTCATTAGGTGAAAATATTATTTTTAAATCCAAAAAAGTTCAATCTGGTCCTCTGGACATTCAAAAAAACCAAAAAACAACACAAAGCAAAAAAATATAGAAACGTTTCGTCTCTCATCCAAGAGACTTCCTCAGTCTGAGGTATTGTTTTCAGCTCAGTCTCTAAAATGTCTCAGTCTCTTGGATGAGAGACGAAACGTTTCTATATTTTTTTGCTTTGTGTTGTTTTTTTTGAATGTCCAGAGGACCAGATTGAACTTTTTTGGATTTTTCTACCTGGATTATTGAGCATGCATCAGGATATTATTTTTAAAGCTCTTCGTTAATAATTTAAAGAGAGAAGCTGGCCTTACAAGACCCAGTGAGATCCTGCAGGTTTATGGTTGCATTAGCAGGTTCGAAAGCTCCAGTGCGCAGGACGTAGTCTGTGCTGAGAGCAAGGGTGTTCACCCAGTGGGCGTGGCCCTGCAGAGTCCTGCACTGGACACCCTGAAACCAACAGGCACATGAACATGTTGGCCGTGTGGCTGCTGTTTGTGTTCATCCCAAAACAAACACACACTTACATCTTTCGCTCTCCACACTTTGACTGTGCGGTCCTGGGAGGACGTGTAGAGAAGTCCGTCTCCTCCCCACTTCACACAGGTGACAGACTGAGTGTGTCCCGTCAAAATCTTCTCACAGTGTCCCAGGACCGTGTCCCAGATGCGCAGAGAGCCGTCCTTAGAACTGCTCGCCAAGTAGCGACACTCTGGGTTACTGAAAAGGAGGAGGAGCAGAAGTACCAGCTGAACCCAACGATGTATTCACACCACAGAGAACACGTTAAAGACGTCGCAGCTGCAGCTCGCTGGTGTTTAGGATGAATCAAACGCTCACAGATGAAGAGGTTCCCAGCAGAGCCACGTGATCCACTTGGTGTGTCCCGTCAACGTCTTCCCAATCTGAGTGCCTGTCGCTGGATCCCACAGAAAGATCTAAAAACACACAGACAATAAAAGTAAAGGTGGAATTCACCTTTAAGATCTACAAAGAGGTGTTTAAAACCCACCTGGCTGTTCTTACACCCTGAAGCCAGCTTCTTCCCATCAGGCGACCAGGCGATAGTCAGCACCCAGTGTGTGTGTCCTTTAAAAAAAGCAGAGTGCAGAGCAACAATTAGGCCAGTCACAATAACAAATGTTGCTGGGCAATTAATTGTCTCAGAAATTATTGCGATAAGCGATAATATTGTTTGAAATTTGACAATAATTACTAATTATTGTCAAATTTAAGAAGAAATGTTGGTTAATTTGTTTTGCATGTAGTATCTTCTTTCGACCACAGGATGGCAATATAAGACTGTTTGAACCGAAGGATGACTAGTGAGGGAGCGAGCAGCGTGTCTCTGTAAGAAAAATGGAAGAGAGGCCCCTTGACGTGTCATGGGCTGTCTCTCCTTCCTTTATTCGGTTCTCAAAATGGCAGCCGCTCGGTGTGGTTTGAGCTCTTTAGCATAGCATATGTCATACAAAGTCTTTAATAAAAATCACTAAACAAGTTCTCAGCTTCTTTTTGCAGAGAAAAAAACAACTTTTTACAGGCACGGGTTTCAACCGCGAATTTTGGAGCTTTGACAAGACGAAGGTTTTTTCCTGAGGTCGGCCTGTTAGCTTAGCTCGTAGCTTAGCTTCTCAGCTTAGCTGCTTTTAACGATCAAAAACACAATTTTGGACAATCAAAATTGATTTTAAAGAGAAAGGGAGGGGTCAGTGAAGAGCACTGGAGTTGAGCCTTTTTGTCATCCAGTGTCTTCAGTAGAAAGAGAGACACGAAGAAATGATAAAACCGATAAATGAAAATGAGGCTGATCATTTTAATTTATCATGCGATTATTTGATTTATTGTTTATAGAGACAGGCCTAACAACAATGTCTTAAACATCAATCATTTTGATGTTTAATTAACAGCAGACCTCGTTGACTTTATACCTCTGGCAGTGTAGAGGGGCGTCTCGGTTGTCAAGTCCCAAAATCGCACGGTGGTGTCACCGGAACCGCTGGCCAGATATCTAAAAGAAACAAACAAACTGTTGCTCTTCCCAGCAGTATCACTACAGCGTCTCACCGAGTGTTTTGAAAATCATCTGGACGGATGACATGAGCCAAACAAAAGCTGGCAGCTGTTCCATGTTAGAGACACTCACTTGCCAGTGGGGCTGAAGGCGGTGGAAATGACCGCCTCGGTGTGTCCCTGCAGGGTGCTGGTACAGCGGGTCACGGCCCGGACCTTGAACACAGCCTCAGGTTGGTACACCACGGGCAGAACTTGTTCCGTCTCGACTCCAAGAGCCTTAACACAAGATCGCAGGGTGGACACCACCTCTGCCTCTCCACGCACAAAAAACGCCAGCGGCACCGGCTCTTCCTACAGGGGACGACAACAGAACCTGTGATGTCACTTGAACAACGCAACCCACAAACAAAACCAAACTCTCAGCTTCGTTTAACGTGGAAGAACAGAGCTGACGTTTAGTTACAGGAATACAGTTAAATTAAATGACTGCTTTTATTCATTACACAAAACAAGTAGAAACGTTTTGAATTATTACATTTTCTTCACACCAGTAAATTCACTGGTTTTGTGTAATCCATGACTAATGAATACCATATAGTGAGGCAGTCAAAACTAAAAATCATCAGGATGCAAAACTATATGATTTAAGACTCTGACAACTCATAAAAATGTGTTTAAGACCAACAAATGTTTCAGAACCACATCCCTGACATTAATCCACAGGTGAAAAATGGATCAGATCATGTAAACAAGATGCTGAAGCCCAGTTCGACCACAGCTCACACACAGTCGGTGCATTTTTCTTTTTTCTAAGATTAAAAACCAGATTCTGCACAAACACAAAGGGTCTCTCACACTCACTGGTGAGCTGGGCTCATTTGTGTTATCATGTGCTGGACCGACTGACTGTAAAATGACACACAGCGCATTCTTACATTAAAAAAAAAGTACAGAAAGTTGAAAACACAAGACGAGTTACCTTCTGCAGCAACGCATTGCAGACAAGTTGTAGTTTGTCTTGAGTGATGTCTAAAGGCACGTCAAAAGGTGAACCCAGAACATCCCCGTTCTCATCCTGAAACTGGATCAACAGCCGCTCCACGTCCTCACTCGCCATCCTTCTGCTCACTTCTGATCCAAATCTGACGAGATAACGCAATGCACTTATTGAATGACACAGTAAAGAAGAATGTAAAAATTAATCAAAGCAGCAGAAGTTCCTGGTAATGTTTAGCTGTTGGAGCGATTCAAGCTTCAGGTCAGGGAGTGTGACACAGAAACTGAAAGACAACACAACCCTACAGATGTAGAAAGGCAAAGCCATCATCCAGTTATTCTTAAATTTGTTGCTGATCCAATAAGACTGACAGTAAATATTTAAATGCATTTGAGTTTGAAGCTTTTAATTTCCATGATTTAAACATGGATGTTCCTGTGTTTAAAAAAAAGTGTCAACATTTAGTCTGCATCAAACAAACCAAGATGACAATAATCCGTTTTAATCTGTGAACTTCAGCAACACATAAAATCATCTGACGACCTGAAAACACAGAGAAGCCAACATTTCATCTCCCCCTTTTTTAATAATGCTGGCAAAGAAAGAGGCAAATAATATGGTCCAGCTTGTAGGATAGTAGTTTAAGAAGATTTAAACACATTATTTAATTAAACGCATTATTTAATTATGACTTAAAAACCCTTCAGGCACGTAATGTGCTGAAGACTTTATTAAAGGCTCCGACTCACCATAACCATCCTGCTGAATAATCAAACTGTCTGTATATAAATATTATGGGACAGCACCAGCTTATTCACGATGCCACACTGTTCTAATTTAAACTCAAACTAAATATTAGAGCTTTTCCTGTTTTAAATAAAACAGACCCAACTAGCTAACCGGTACAGTTTTCAAACCGCAAAGTGTGAAAAATTAAGTACACAGTAAATTTAGAACAAAATGTTCATTTGATCCGAAATAAATGTCCGAAACAATAATAAAACCCCTCAGTAGCAGTTTGAGCCTGCACGTAAACACAAACGACTAAGCTAACTCAACTAGCATGCAGCTAGCTACCTTTTTAAACACCAAACCATTTTTAGCACCGACTGCAGAACAGGAGGATAACGTTGCCTTGTTTACACGCAGATGTTAGATTTGTTTACACCAACATGCTGTCAAATAAACACATTTAAAGGTTACCTTCGGGTTAACCGAGTATATAAACGACACACGTGCGGATAAGCAGAGAGCCTTTAAATGAAAAGATGATCCTAGCATCCAAAGCTGGCTACCATGTCGCCAAACTTGCGCAATGGATTATGGGAAGATTTTACACCCTCATGGATTTTGGACCGAGGGAAACCTTCACCTAATAGTCTTTCTGCAGTCTAAATCACCGATTCATTCATTTTTTCAACCTTTATTTATACAGGTTAGTAATAATGAACTAATAATAATGATAATAATAATAATAAATTATTGATACATTTTCTTTAATTAATTGAATACATTTTGTTTTCAGTATTTAGTTTAGTTTAGTATTTATTCAAATTAACAGTTTCAAGACTATTCTACATTTTGACGCTTGGTTAAAAAAAAAATCTATTAATTCAAATGTTATAAATATAACATCATTAAAACAATCATTCTTTGACAGAGCTTCAAATATCACCCTGATTAATATTGACAGTTTTTGTTAGAATGCTGATTTAAAATAAAAGGAAACACCTTGTTGTTGTAAGTTTTATTGTCTTTGTAATTTCTAATCACCCAAACAATCAATGTTTGTTCTAAAATTTAATTCACATTGCATAGGTTTGTAAAACACAATGTTTTAAGATGAATTCACATTTTTTGATAAAGCATTGTGTTATTTATTTAAAGACAAAATGCCACCCAAGTATGACTCAGGGTACATGAATAAATCTCATCTTTCAACATGAACATATTTTAAAATGTATTTTAATGTTGATTCTGTTGACAGTCGTGAGAAAGATATGTCTTATGTTGTTACACAGACAAATCATTGGTTTTATATCCTTCTTGTCTTGGTCCAGTTTGGTGCTGATGTTCTTCATGAAGACCACATGTGAAAAACAAACCAATGTAAATAATATTAATTATTTTATACTCTGACACGAACAACCCGACAGAATGGAAATAATTCAATAAATTCTGCGTGACAATACTTCTCCGGTGGCTAAAAACCTCACAATGCTTTTCTTTCTACACCTTTCTTATATTTATTTATCACTTTTACAGGATAAAAACACTTTTCTTAATGTCGATCAGAGATTCAACAAAAGCAGATTGTTGTTTCCAGTAAAATGAAGTGAAGGTGTGAGGACCGCAGCGTCCTCAGTAAGCTGGAGAAGTCTGAATCAGGTTTTATTTGTTGATCCCGTTGATGTCCTCAGGATCCAGACCCTCAGCACGTTTCGACTCCAGAATCTGGAACATCAAATCAAAAGTAAAGAAATATCAGGCGTTAAGAAGCTGCACACAGTCAGGTGGTCCACCTTACCTGAAAGTTCTCGCTGAGTCCGACGATGCTGTTCATGTTGGCACTGAAGTAACCCAGAACATGTTCTCCTCCCAGCAGAGGGACCTTATCCTTGTTCACAGATCTCTGCAGGTGTAGGCACTTTTTAACGAGCATGTTCACAGAGCACGTTTAAAAACGTCACCTGTTTTACCTGGATGACTTCATGAACCTCCGGCAGCTCCTCCTCTCTGACCCAAACGAAGGTTTCGTAGTCAGACGGGCTCTTAAACCCAACCTGCAGGAGAGAAAACCTCAGTTCCAACCTGTCTGCTTCAGAGTTGTTGAGGAAGGGTTAGTCTTTATCTGTCGGAGCACCTTGTACAGACCGATCCAGTCCCACGTGGACGACATGAAGTCCTCTTGGACGGTGTAAGTCAGAAGTGCGTCCTGCTCAGCGCTCCATACACCCTCAGGAGACACGTGCACCAGTGGTGAAGTGAAGCTTCTCCTCAGCTGCAGGGATGACAAGAGGAAAAGGAGTGGACGGTAAAACGGAGGTCAGGTTCGACAGGTGTGTCAGAGCAGAGCATCCTGGTCCAGAGCTTCAGTTCTCACCTCCAGAGTGAAGTTTGCAACAACCGGCTTGTGATCGCTGACTCTGTAGCTCATGTCACTGGAGTACGAGTTCTGGGTGACCTGGACTGGATATTCATCCTGTGTCTGTTCTGTGGAGGTTGATGCCTTATCATCCTCCTCCTCTTCCTCCTCCTCTTCCTCCTCTGACAGCAGAGGTTTGATCCGCCAGAGGATCCGATCTGTCCAGGCTGGTTTTCTCTTCTTGCCACTGAGCCATGGTTGAAACGAGAGCAAATAACAGGCTTTCATCATTAAGGCTAAAATGTTTGTTTTTATGTTGCTTACCCGAGACATCATTTACATGAATGCAGATAAACTCCCCACTTTATAAAAAAAGCTTCCCTCAGAGACAGACAGGAGTTCATATCTCATGAGGCTGCAGATCACACCTCTGCTGGCTTTACTGAACCTGTCCTTTAAAGCAACAGTTCAGATATTTGAGGTGGGATTACTTAAAAACGTTATGCACGGTTAACATCTTACCTGTTGTAGATAGCTGTTTGAAGAGTCTCAGTTTAAAGAAGAGTTTCTTTCTGACCTCTCCCACAAGCTGCCAGCTCATCAAACCAGAGTTAAACTCTGCTTCTCAACATGAGATCATTCAAAGAGTTATCTAACAGCAAGTAAAATTATAATTGTGTATATCCTTTCACAAAACTCCATTTCAAAGCATCTGAACTGGTACTTTAAAGTATTCAGACTACAAAAATGCATAAACAACCAGCTGAGAAAGTGGTGCACTTGCAATGCATTCTGACCTGAATATGTTTGGTATATAAATCCATTAGTTTTTTTTTAAATATCTGAATAATCCTGTTCTTGCAACACAAATGTGCCTGTAAATAACCCTCAGTGTGCATATTTCTTTAAAACAGGTCCTTCTCTCAGCTGTCTGTACAAGCCACCGACAAGTAAAAGAGCATCTCCGGTGCAATGGTTAGAGACAACATACATGATGCTAAACTAAAATATAAACCAGGGATTCTACTGTGGTTGCTTTAAGCTGCTTTTAAATGTGGCTAAAGCTACTTTGATGCATCAAATGGCAACAGACTAAAGGTGCAGTGACCAAGGAAGAGGAAAATGTGGGGCATGCAGTAAAATGTGGAATATCTTACTGAAAACCCAACCATGTCTTTGGAGAGCTGTGCAAAAGTCCACAAAGAAAACAGGAGCATTACACATGTGGCTTTGTGTTACATATGTGTTTGCACAGAAGATGTGTTACCTTGTATCATAGGCATCAGACTTATGGTCAAACTTATATGAAGGTTTAAAATTTAATGGCCCCTCCTCAAATTCCTGCAGGAAGGGTTCATTCTTCTTCACCAAGGTGAGCTGCAGGAACACAAAGCTCATCAGAATGAGGACACTGGTGCATGAGTCTGCAGAATGTGCACAAAGTTCAACACAACACCTGGTCCTTGCTCCACAGCAAATGAAAGCGTCCACTGTTGATGGACGAGCGGACAAAATGCAAGCCGTGGTCGTCGATACGGAAGTTTAAATCGCCAAACCAGAACACCACCCTGACAGAGAGAGAGAAAGCATAACTTCCTTTACGTGGGGCAGAGCACACTCAGGTGTACATCAGCTTTTAATAGTGCGTATCAAAATGTTCAGCTCTTTCAGGACAATCCTGCTGTTACTTTTGGTATTGGTGCAACTATTGCTTTTTGAAATATGTTTACATATTTAGCCTTTTCTGCCATTTTTTTCTTATAGAAAATGAATTGAGCTCATTTTACGTCCTTCAAATAATTAGATCTGTTTACAACCTTTTACTGCTCCTTTCATGTTTGTTCTGCTTCAGCTTCTTTCAGCTTCCTTGTTCAAATTTACCCTTTTTTTCTTCCAGCTACTTTCAGCTGCTTTTACAGCAGTTTTGTGATGTTAATTTATCTTTTTCAGTTAATTTCACATTTTTTGCACTTAGTTCAACCTTTTTCAGCCCAATTGAGCAAAAATATGCTCTCTCCATTTTTTTTTCTAGTGATTTAAGCTTATTTCTACCTTTTAAGCTACATTTCAGCTGATTGTTGCTAATTTAATCTTTGTTCAGATAACTTCCACTTTTTTGTGCTCATTTCTTCTTGTTTCAGCCTAACTGGGCAAATGTGATTTTTTTCTTCTTATACTAATTTAAGCTTGTTCTACATTTTCAGCTAGTTTTTTGCTTTTTTAGCTAGTTTCATCTGTTTTCAGATAAATTCAAGTTTTTCATGATAATTTTTGCCACTTTCAGCCTAATTAACATCTTTATGTTATTTTCAGCTTGTTGTGATCCTTTCAGCTTTTTTCTGCTAGTTTCAGCTTTTTCTGCCATTTCCGCTACCTTTTAGCTGTTTGTGCTAATTTGAGCTTTTTTAAGCTAATTCCACATTTTTAAAGTTCATTTCAGCTCTTTCTGCTTCCTTCTGGTAGTTTAAGCTTCTTTCTGACTTTTCAGGTTCTTTTCAGATACTTTTTGCTTGTTTCAGCTTTTATAAGCTAATTTCCTAAATTTTGTGCTAATTTCTGCTTCTTTAAACTTAATTCAGCAAATATGTGTTTGTTCTGCTTTCTTCCACAAATTTAAGCTTTTTCTTCTGTTTCAGCTACATTTCAGCATTTTTATTTTATTTTTTTTAGCAAATTCAACTGTTTTTCAGTAAGTTCTTCTGCAATAAGCATTCACACTGCATTTTTGGAGGAAATGAACTTTCTCTAGTGTTTTTAGTGTTTGTGTTTAGGTGCACTGACTTGTGGTCCAGGACATGAGGGGTATCAAAGATGTCAAAGTCCTGCGTCTCCAAGATGTACTCGAACTCATCAACGCGCTGCAGGGCGTTGCTCATGTGAGCTGCCAGGTGGCAGTTAACGAAGCACATCATGTGGCCGAAGAAGGAAAAACGCACAGAAACTGCACCTTTATTACCCTGACACAGAAACACAGAGGAGAAAAAAAGTTTATTTTATCAAAGATTCTGGTTTTAATCGCCACCTTAAATCAACTTGATGATTTACTTTGTTCAGCTTGGATTATAACACGAGCCTTGTTTGGTCCAGTAGGTGCAGCACACATTTCAGTTTTTACATGATGCTGAAGCTACTGACCTTTCTGCTGCACAAACTTAATAGGTCTTTCACAATATCCTCAAAGCTGATACAGCTCTGATGTCAGGGGAACTCGGAGGGTTTAACAGGGCTGACCTCTACGGAGTTCAAAGACAAGCTGTGTCTTCTTTGAAATGTCCTACCCAGTAGCCAAAGATGCCGGTACGAGTGTAGGTGGTCTGGATGTTTCTGATGTAGGGGAGATGCATGTGTTTGGCAAAAAGCAGCAGCAGCAAACCCTGCATCCTCACTGATGTGACCTGTGGGCAGAAATGGAAATGTGACACAAGAAATCAAACAGCAATGGAAAAGTGGCTCGGGTCACCTGAAAACATGAGAGATAATGACATGAGAGGGCAGGACTGGAAATGAAAGACTGCGTCCTGGTGTGTGTGTAGAAAAGAAAGTAGGACTAACAGAGACTAAAACATAAAAACAAAGTACAACTCTTAACCAAAACCCCACAGCTCATGACTGAAAGACAAAAGGAAGAAAATCAAACATTTTGATCAGATCAATGTACCATAGAATTACAATATTGTATTATACATTACGGTATTGCGCCGCTCCAGGTGGCTGCATGTTGGAGCAGCTCTGTCACATTCATTCTGAGATTTTGATTTTGGAAATGTTAATTCCTCTTTTTCTGGATGTAAATCACATTTTTGGGATGATTGTTTCCTCAGGTATCGGATGCTGTGCAGCTGGAAAGATTTTTACGGAAACTTTTTTAGTTATGGACATTTGTTATGATGCGTAACAATGGCAACGAGGCAGTTTTCTACAACCAACAGCAGCTGATTAATATCTCAAAATCTCAAATAATATCTCAACTACAGCTCAAATTCTCAAATGAGATGAAAAGGATGCTCTGTGGACGCATTCTCATCTACCTGCCAGCTGTGCTCGAGTGCCTGACCATTGAGGTCCTGGAATTAGCAGGAAACACAGCTCATGACAGCGGAAGGACAGGATCGTCCCTCAGCACCTACAGTTGGCTGTCTGCAGAGACGAGGAGCTCAACAGACTGCTGGGAGGAGTAGCCATCGCTCTGGGAGGAGTTCTGCCCAGCATTCGAGCGGTCCTACAGCCCAGGGGAACCGAGAAACCAGCCGAGTCTGGGTGGATGGATCGGACGGTATCTGCAGCCAGTTTCTTAGGATCCACTGTGGGATGGACCTTCACAAGAGATCCTTCCTGCCTACAGCCATCAGTATCTATAACATCTCTTAATGAAATGAGGATAAGAAGTTACAACAACAAATAATTTCCCTTTGGGATTAATAAAGTATTTTTGAATGGAATTTGAATTGAATTTATGTTTACATTATGTATTATACATTATACACATTGCTTCTCAGATCACAATGTGTTCAACATAATGATACTTCTTCCAGCTATTTACCGGTAACTGTCAACAATGGTGTACCACAAGGCTCAGTTTTAGGACCCACCCTCTTCACAATCTACATAAGTAATATAGGTCAGATCATTCCTGATGCATCCTTATATTTCTATGCCGACGACACAGTAGTCTATTGTCAAGCTAAAACAGTTGATAAGGTTTTCCAACTTTTACAGTCTACATTCAACATCATCCAGTCATGTTTGTTCCATCTCAAACTGGTGCTAAATGCTGATAAAACCAAAGGGATGTTGTTTTCGAACAGGAAGTCGATACCAGCAGTCCTTCCTTCTATCTTATATACGAATGGTGCAACTATTGAATTTGTTGATTCTTACAACTTGGGAATGTTGGTCGATGCACATCTCTCTAAGCCTCGTTAAGCCACTCAACACTGGGTTTCTTTTTCAGAAGTAGATCTTATTTAACTCTGAACGCTAGGAAACGTCTTGTAACTGCTACTTTCCTACCCTCCATTGACTACAGTAGCATTATTTACATGAATGCTCCTGACAGCACTCTGCAGATGTTGGACGCTGTCTATCACGGTGCACTAAAGATTCATAACTGGCTGTAACTACCGTATCCATCACTGCACCCTGTATTCACTGGGTAACTGGACATCATTAACTTCACACAGACTCTCTCACTGGTACATTTTCATCTTTAAATCACTCCTTGGTCTGTTGCCTTCATACATCTCTACCTACATGTCTCTGCGTGAGAGCAGCTACAGCGTGCGCTCCCAAGACATCATGACCTACAGTGTCCCCTCAGTACGGACCAAATTTGGTAAAAGGGCCTTCTCTTACTCCGCTCCAGTAAGCTGGAACACCTTGCAAAAAAGATCTGAAGCTCTCCACTCTGACCTCCCTAAGGGATTTTAAACAACTATTCATGGCAAAAATCAATGCAGACATGTTCCTGTTTTTAGTATTTTTCACCGTTTTATAATTAGCATTTTTAAATTGATTTTGTTTTATATCACTTTTTTAATTTACTTTTCATTTTATATGCTTTTATATGATTGCTGTGTGTATCTGTTCTTTGTTCAAAACAGGTCTGTCTTGTAAATCTTTGAATCTTCTTTGTCTTGTTCTAGAATTGCGCCGCTCAAGGTGGCTGCATGTTGGAGCAGCTCTGTTACTTTCATTCTGAGATTTTGCTTTTGAAAACTTTAATTCCTTTTTTTCTGGATGTAAATCACTTTTTTTTGGATGATTGTTTCCTCTGGTATTGGATGCTGTGCAGCTGAAAGGATTTTTACTGAAACTTTTTTAGTTATGGACATTTGTTATGATGCGTAACCATGGCAACGAGGCAGTTTTCTACAACCAACAGCAGCTGATTAACATCTCAAAAGCTCAAATAATATCTCAACTACAGCCCCAAATCTCAAATAAGTTGAAAGGATGTTCTGTGGACGCATTCTCATCTACCTGCCAGCTGTGCTCAAGTGCCTGACCACTGAAATCCTGGAACTAGCAGGAAACACGGCTCATGACAGCGGAAGGACAGAATCGTCCCTCAGCACCTACAGTTGGATGTCCGCAGCGACGAGGAGCTCAACAGACTGCTGGGAGGAGTGGCCATCGCTCTGGGAGGAGTTCTGCCCGCCATGCAGGCGGTCCTACAGCCTGGGGGAACCGAGAGGCCAGCCGAGTCTGGGTGGATGGATTGGACGGCATGTGCTGCCAGTTTCTTAGGATCCACTGTGGGATGGACCTTTACAAGAGATCCTTCCTGTCTACAGCCATCAGCATCTATAACATCTCTTAATGAAATGAGGATAACGAGTTACAACAACAAATAATTTCCCTTTGGGATTAATAAAGTATTTTTGAATTAAATTGAATTGAATTGAAATGAGTCCTCGTGACTCAATGAGACTAACCTGTATAAATAAAGGTTGAATGAAAAAGATCCAGTCACGTGTATTTGCTGTTTCCTGTGTCCTCACCTTCACAAAGCCTCTGGGTGCCAGTGTGTCCATGAGGAGGTGGCTCCAGGAGTCCTCTGCTATCAGGTCTGAGATGAACCTCAAAGGGGTGGCGTTCACTTCCTGCAGACTAACTTCCAACAAAAACAGAGATTAAACAATGATGCTCTGACATGTTTCATCCTGAGACATAACTCCCTCCTCCATCGTATCAAAACCTTGTGTGGTTTTAAGCGTTCGCTGTGTTTCTCACCCTATCACATAGAGATCTGTGGGGGGTTGGACATCCAGCTGCAGCAGAGAGGTGACGTCTCCTGGAGGCTCCGCCGTGGCCACGTTCCAGGTGACGACATGCAGCCTGTCGAAGGGTTTGGGAATAAAAAAGTTTTGTTTGTTTTTTTAATCCACAAGATTTTTGTATCTAACAGGTTAGTAATGTAACTGTCTGTAAATGATAACTAGCTAAAAACTTTAATCCTAACGGATTTTTCACTTTTTAATCTGAACAATTTAGCCTCATTGTCTGTGACATCATCCTGTGAATGCCTGACTGAGCGCTTGTTGACCTGAAAGCGTCTGTGGGAACGAGGCGTCCACAGAGCTGGAAGGCTTCGTCCAGACTGCGGGACACCTCTTCGTCGGCCTCGTCGTCAGAGCTCATGTCTTCGATGCAGCTCATCAGCTGCGACAGGCGCTGGCGGAGGACCGCCTTGGACCTGGAGCTCTGAGACGCTGAGCTGCTCGTGCTGTCTGAGCGCAGGCGTGGACTGTCTGGAGCATGGTCCATCGCTGAGAGGTGATCTTCAGTACAAAACTAAAGGTGCAGTCATCTGCATAAGAACAGTCCAGTGACAAGAAGGTCTTCGGTTTAGTTTGTCCTCAGGCTTGTGCCTGGTCTGGTTGCATAGGCCTCCTCTCTGTGCAGGCTGCTAGGCTTGAGTCCCTGTCAGTCAAATCTTATCTCTGATGTCCTGAGAAGCGAGCAGGAGATACGTTTCCGGACGGCACAGGGTGAAGGGTGTTTGTTCTGGTCCAGTCCCTCATCTGGCTGAGTCCCGTGTGCTCATGCAGCCAAAGAACGCCCTTTGACAAAGCAGTGGGGTCGACCAAAGAATGTTGGCGAGAGCGAGGCGAGATTTGGAGTCTAATCGCCGGCAGGAGACAGGCATGTGAATGTGCAACAGACAAAGAAGGCAGGAGGCTGATCCTCCATCACTGTGAGTATTGTTGTGAGACTTGTGTAACCCTCGCCGTTAAGAGGTTTACTTCCAGCCCTCGCTCAGAACAGGGAGCGAACCCCACAGTTACGCTCCTGGGTCAGTACCGGGGACAACAGAGCGTCTCTTGGCTTTCATCCAGCCTCTCCTCATGTGAGGGAAAGGTTGTTTGTGAAGCCAGGAAGTGGCAGGGATCAAACACAGTTTTACACGAGAAGCTCTGGTTTTCTTTCTTAAAACAAAAACTCAAATACTTTTAATTAGTGCTGTGTGTGTTGCAGCACAGTTAATTGTGGACAAATGACATAATGGGTTTAGACATGCATGAGGAAATCTGGAACCACAGAGAAGAACAAACAAAAGGCCTCAAAATTTCCAAACCACAAATACAATAATTGGTACGTTTCTTTGTTAAAGTGATTAAGAATGGAAGGCGTGACATTCGTTAACTCGAGTTTTGAAGTATAACTCGTTAAAGGTGGATGATAATGTAACTGCATGCATGTGTGTGTTTCGCCTGTTAGCAAAATATCTCATGAAGCACTCAACAAATGCATTATCATAAAGTGATGATTGGATGAACAACTGATTAAATATGAAATTAACCCAGTTCAAGATGGCTGCCACAGCTAACTGAACTTAGCAAACACAAAAATGGCTACAATTCAGGTATTTTTACAGGTACTGCGCTAAACTGTGGTGTGGTAGTAGCTGAGAGTGGTCCCTAACACATCCTCCAAGCGCATACAGACCATATGTTCAGTTCAATGTTTGGCACACACGGTGGTGGTCAACAAGCGTTTCTTTTAGAGAATATTCGTTTAATTGCCAACCCTGTTTCTGCAGTTTGTGGAACCACGTATAATTTATTCTAAATCAGTCTGAAGAGGCTGAAACTAGAGACAGATCCACGTATTAGAAACTAACACATCAATAAACTGCAGGATGCAGCAAACATTATTGTTCAGACACCTAAAAACAACAAGTGTCCAAAGAAGCTAAGTTGTAGATAGATAAGTAGTGGACAAAATAAAATGAAATGTAATAATAAAGGTAAACTTCAGGTCTTTCTGGTCTTGAGGCCCCCTCGTGGACCAGGGTCACATGCACCCGGGTCACATTCCTCAGCTAGAAGCTCGATGGAGCTTACCAAGAGTTTTCTCACAAAACCACACAAAGACTGATGTCACAAGCTACTTATAAAGATTAAAACAAACTTTATAGTCACTTATTTCTGCTCGTGCTTCCACTTTTAAACACTTTATATCTCCTTATGTTTATTACAACCATAGGAAAATGATGTTGATGTTCATTTATTTAATTTTTTGAAGATAACGGGAAGATGTGATAAGATTTTTTTCTTCTGTCTGCTCCTTTTCATCCATGGTTTGATGCATCTTGAATTATTGTGTATATAAAATTATTTTTATTAATGAAATAAATCAATAAAATGAACAAGACGGACTTACCTGCACGTGTGTGTTACGCCACGTTTAGATATTCTAGCGCTCATTTGACTCCTGCAAACGCACAGAAACACACACCTGATCAAACTGCAGCACAAAGAGGACGCAAAGTACAAATGCTCCGTCTTTTTGCCGACACCTTCACAGGTTTCAGAGGAACAACTGGGAGCTGATGGGGATGAAAGTCATTTCTGAAATGGACTGATAATCAGGTTTAATCACGATTAGTTTGAGCCCAGTTAAAGTGACAGTGCTTTGAAAATCACCAGGAACCAGAGAGTCTGCAGTTGTTTTCAGGGTTTATTTAAAAGAGCTGCTCAGAAACAAACTGTGTTACAGTGCTGATTCATTCATTCTTTCAACCTTTATTTAGACAGATAAATCGCACTGAGCCTCGAAGACTCATTTACAAGTGCGACCTGTTTAGACAGACAAAAAGTAGTGAAATGTAGGTTTTGGAGGCAAAAAAAAAAAAATCCTATCAAACTTTTTCTTCTTGGCTGAGAAGAAAGAGCTTGATATTGAAAAAAACCCACCCTGCATATAGACGCACATGGTGACGTAGACATTTCGCAAAGCAGTTTCACAGACAGGACAGAGCGGCAAAGCGGAGGAGGGAGAGGAGGGGAAAAGCATCCGCCCTTGACAAGAGCAAGTGGTGAAGTGATTCACGATGACCGTGATCAAACTGAGGAAACAGTCATTTTTACTAACGTCTAACAAGGTTGAGTCAGTTCCTCTGGATGGATTCGTCTTTGTTGAAACGTTTCATCTTTAATCCAAAAGACTACTTCAGTCTGAGGAGCTGCAAGAACTTCAGTCTTATAAATAGCACCTTCTCACAGTGGGTCAACCAGATTGCTGCTGACATCCAGAACTTGGTGTTCACATGATAAAGGAGGACCATCAGTCTAACAAATGATCTTTAGTGCCCTGATGGCCACTTGCTATTCACAGAGGGCTGAGTGATACTAGCAATAACAGCACTGTAAGATGGTGATAGCTGGACATGTAGCCCTCCTTCCCTGTTTAACGATGGACAGGTTCTCTTCACAAAGATGGCTTCCTTCACCCTTCTCTCTATCAAGTATGTGCACATCTTCATCCCTGAAAGAGTGACAACTGGCCTGCAGTCCTGGCCTGATGCTGCTGCTCTTCCATGCTGGGCCATGACCCAGCACAGAAGTTTGTTTGAAGCTGCTCAGACTGAAGAAGCCTTTTGGAGAAAAGACAAAACGATTCAACAAATAGGAATCCATCCAGAGGACCTGACTTAGATATATGTACCTGGATTATTGAGCATGAATCAGGACATTTTTACTAACAGTGTGATTAAAAACTCACACAGAAGGAAGAATGCAAACATCAAACTTGATGATGGTGAGAGTGTAAAATAAAAGCAGAAGGTCAAACTTTTAAATTTTGAGTTAGACAGAATAATAGTAATTAGGTCACAGATCATGTAAAACACTTGGCAACGTTGGCATTTTCTGTTTAGAAAACCTCTTACTCAAAGTGATCAAAACAACTTAAGTGAAAAGATGCTAAATGTGCTCAACATATTGATGCTGAAGAAGGATTGAGTTACCAACAACTGAAGACAGTGCAACAATCCACAAAAAATATTTTCTTTGTTCAGCTAGATGAACCAGTCAAGTCAAGTTTGGAAAGTTATTTTTTTTAAAGTTCTAAAAGTTGTCTTCATAAACCGGAGTAACCAGTGTCTATTTTATAAAATACATAAACTATAGATAAACTGTAATACAATCTTTAAAGTACAATTTACTCGTTGAGTACAGCACAAGCGTAAATGACAAAGAAAAAAAACAAAACAAAAGGTCTATGATTATGACTTCATAACTCTCTTCATGCCTGTGATGCTGTTGAGACCTTTGCACCAGTGATCCGTGTTCAAACTGCGTTCACCGACATGTTCGCTGCACGGAGCATCTGTGTGTTGATGTTGGAGCTGACTCCAGCCTTCTACTCAGAAAGTGATGAAAAGGCTACAAATTATCAATTATTTTCAAATATTTAACATGTTTCTTCAGAAAACAACTGTTTTATTTAACCAGGGGTGTTAATTTGTTATATGAAGCAGTTAAAATGTTCTATCATGTTTTGTCTGAATTGATTTTATCTTTTACATTAGACTTGTCCACGTGAGGACGGGACGAGCCACTTCACGTCTTTCACTACCCTTCGAGTTTCAGTTCAGTTTACATCAGGATGAACTGGAGCAACTCTCGAGATGATTTGGAGCCCAGTTCTGATTCATCCTCTCCTGTATTTTCTGACCCTCCAGCTGATGCCCGTCTGTTTTCTCATTTTGTGTCTTTTTGTTGCTTCATCCTGTTTCTTCAGGCTGACTGCACCGTGTGTGCATGCACTGCAGAGATGGACAGTCAGAGCTTATTTTGTAGAGAAGAAATTATGTTAGTGAGAATAACCTGGTACAAACTGCATTAACAGCATGAGCTGACATTTGTCTGAATATGACTGCATGATATTCTGATGGGTGCTCACCACTTCATGATACATACAGAAACTGTCAGCTGTAAACTGAGACAAAACCTGGAATTTACTGACCCAATTACTAACCAGATTTAGTGTCAGAACTCAAAAATAAGTGTCAGTTATTCATAATAAAACCTTTTAGTGTTTTCTTAATCTAATTATAGAGCAAAAGGTAAATCAGAAACCCTGAAGCTTTACCTTGTTTGGTGTCTGAAGATGGTGAAGATCTCCACAGATGTGAGCAGAAACGTGTTCTCCTCTGGAGGAAGTGTTCACTGACTGACTACCGGTCAGTCCTGTGTCCTGTGCATTTCAGCTGCCTTCCTTCTGAAGCAAAAGTTCACGAGCACACAGTTTCTCAAACACAGACTTAAAGCGTAACATCGGATCAAGTTATTATCCCAGGCTAGGTAACGAGTGAGAAACTCATGAAAGGACTTTTCTGTAAAGTGTATAGTCAACAGCACCTCTTAATAAAGGCCTTACTGATTGTTCATGTGTTTCTTTACTTTTTGATCACAATGAAATGCATAGTAGCTTCAATATGAATTTGGTTTAGAGTGTTTGCATCAACTAAATACTGTGTTCTAATAGTGTTTGTTTATCCTCAAATATCTCGTTTAATTAGGATTTGTGACATTTTGTCTGAATATGATTAATTTGCAGCACAACTTTCATTATGGAGGTAAACCTTTGCTGCTGTAAACGTAATACAGCCAACAACACCAATATCTTAACTACATAACACTCTCTACAATAATGCCATTGCCACATGTCATCATCAACATGAGCATAAATGATCCAACAGTTTCAGTGTTGCCAGGTGAGAAATGTAGGATGATCGTACTAGAGACATAAAATTATCGTATTTTGTGGGAAATTATCGTACACCCGTCATAACCAAAATAACAAATCTATTTATACACTATAGTAATGATGGGTCCGCTTCCAGACCGGCTCTGCTTCTTCTCCTTTTCTTTTTTCTTTTACTCACTCATAGGGCAGGCGCAGCGGACTATTCAGCCAATCATGGTCGTTGTTCTGAGGCACACGCAAACACGTCACTCATTGATAACATTTAGAAAAGCACGATTGGCTGGAATTTCCAGCCAATCGTACATCTGTTTGCGGACACAGATGCTTTCAGGGTTCACAAAAAACTCCGACAGACAGTTGCGAGAGGCTGATGACAACCGATTTCAACCACACACTCACGGGATGGTCAAATTATCGTATATTTGCCCTTTTTTTTGGGATTATTGATCGTACAGAGGGCAAAATTGTCGTACAAATGCGATAATTATCGTACACCTGGCAACACTGAACAGGTTTCTCTTTTGAAGCAATGACTCATGGGAGTTTGGAACTTCCGCCTTCCTCACATCCTTTAACAGCTAGCTACGCTGCTATGCTAACGTTAGCTCGTTAACTGAAACAGGTGAGGGTTTGCCTTAGCTGTGGCTTTTTATTTCTATCCTCCTCCATACCGATAGCAATGTTTTCTTTCCCTCTGTACGAAAATAAATAGGTTAAATTATTCCCTGCCGCTGGTGTAAAGTTTGTTGCAATATCATTATCCACCACACGGGGGCGGAGTGGGAGAAAAAGAAGTTAATTAAAGACCTGACTGAACATTGTTGGATTGTATACCTGGACAACCTTGACTTGCTATGAATCAGTCTTCATGACGGTCACTTTTAAAAGAATGCACACAGCAAAATAAAAAGTTGCATCAAATGTTTTCTCTGTAGTTTTTCTAAGGCTGTCACAAATTACGAAACAACACAAATACATTGAACAATACTAGGAGTCCAAAGGATTCCTTCTTCAACATGTTTGCACAGTCTGGGTTTTTATCAACAACTCTAAAAAGTTTTAACAACTCTGAGTAAGGTTCCTTTTTCACATTCTAATAAGGATTTTAAAATGTTTTGTTTATTTGTCTGGTTTGTTGTCTACAGTGTGATTGTGGACTCTGACTTAGGCTGTTAATAAACAGAGGACCTTTTTTTTTTTTTTTTACAACAATAACGATTACGCCAATAAGTTTTACTCATTTCATGTATCCATGTCCAAACACCTCATAAATGTTTTCATGTGCACTGATTAATCTTACAACATTTTGACTTCTCCCTAATATTGTATTACCATCCCCCAACAAACATTTTAATGGATATAATTTCACTGGTGCTAACAAACAACAAAACATCAAACTGACAGTACTTGCTTTGCTTCTTTTATTCTGTTCTTTACGTCGCTGATGTACAGTAGTGTTATTAGAGAATAAGATGACCAAAAGGCACAAATTCACAATAAAAGAAAGAAATCAGGAGACGAGTTTAACAAGAGTGAGAGGAAAAGAGCGACAGAGAGATTTAAAAACAGTTTGGGATCACAGACTCATTTGGTTTCCTCACACTCTGAATATAAATCAGGGAATTTAACAACAGATAGATGAGATTGTCTCTTTTAAAATAGGATTTCTCACAATTTTATACATTCAGACTCTTAAAATAAACCTTCTGCCAGCAATCCGCATGAAACTTTCAGTCTGTTTTAATTTGTCCACGCGTTGAATTGTGCAACAACGGTCCTACAAACACCGAGGTTCCACTGCTGATACGGTGGATCAGTGAGCTGAGCCAAGCTGCTGGTAACGGTCACTTTTGTCTGTGAGAGGAGAGAGACCGGGGTACAACAAAGGAACAACATTCAGAACAAAAATATATATTTATACACCGTCCTGCCAATGGGACGTGGTCCATGAGACAGAATGACTTCAGGAGTGCAGTTTTAAATTTCCTTCAAGCACATCTGACATTGTTCCTAACCGTTTCTTATCAGCACTACATTTGAGCAACTACACGACTCGACGTTTCCTCCTGTGATCGAGGGAGTCGTTGTGGTCCGTGCACCTCTGAATACTTCAGGATGGAACCAGCGGGCCAAGAGAGCGTGGCAGGACAGTCTCATCTGTATAGATTTATATTTAAATATGTGTGTGTGTTCATCTACAATAATTTGTTTACTATTTACAAAACTGGTACATACAGTACATCCACAAATCTCCATGGTTCAGCTGGTGGCCCCACAGACACACAGTGAGGTGATCACAACACACATGTAGGCCCTGTTTACACGAAAACGATTTATGGCGGAAATGGAAGAGTTTCGTTGTGTTTGCACGGTTCATTTACACGAAAACTGTGAATGTTTTCTCTGACAACGGCACGATTTGAGAACTGGTTCAAAAACGTCCCGTTGTCGTGTAAACAGAAAAAAATAGATGCTTTCTGTCAGGGGATCTCTGGCTCATGCGCAGTATGACACAAAACATAACGGCTTCCTACAATCCACAGAAGAAGAAACTATCGACAGTGGCGGATACCAGACTATTGTTTGTGCTTCTGATTCTTATAAATCTAATTTTCCCCAACTGCTTTCAGTTTGGACATCACTGGGCTTTTGTCATGGTGGTTTTCTCATGAGAGAAACGTGAGAACTTTTTTTTTTTTTACGCATTTAGAGTTTCGAGTTTCAAAGAACATAGCACCAACTAGTGGCGTGGCGAGGGAATTACACCTTTTCCACATTACTGTTGCTGTGTAAACAGAGATTGTAATTAGAACGTTTTCATGTAAATGTGTTAATAGAAATGGGGGAAAAAATCATTTTCATTGAATCGGTGTCGTGTAAACAGGGCTGCAGACGGGCTGATGGGCTCTTTACACAGGACGCAAACAAACAAACAAACAAACAATGCTTTGGAGTTTAAAAAATAATATACTAGGCTGTTAGAATAAAAGTTAGTTTCTGCAAGGTTTAAACTATAATAGTCACTTTTCTCACTCTGACATTTTTAACATCTGTTCATTTTAAAGTTTCTGTGTGAAACAAAAATAACTGACTTTATCTGGATTATATAAATAATCCAAATAAAACTATTCATAATTATAAGCGTTTGACTAATTGCTGGAAGTATTAAGACCCAGTCAAATTGATGGAGCGTCAGAGGAAATAACATCTCTGGGATTAAGCTGCTAACAGACAGACCTGTTAGTATTATGTCAAAGAACATTAATAAAATGCTTGGTCAGGGTATTTGTAATGAAAACATCAGGTCTTTGAAATAATCTGTGTTTGGAGAAACAGAGATTAACCCCCAGATTAATAAAAAAAAGTGGACAGATTATGTTTGAACAAATTCAGTTTCAGATATTTCAGTGATTCAGCAGAACACCATTTTATAAATCTTTGCATCACATTTAATTTCACATTACGTGGTTAATCCATAAAAATATAAAATCCTTCCGGTAACTGGAAGTGCTACAGCTAGCTGCTGATGCAGTTAACCATAATTGTATGTAAACAACCTTGTCACGCCAAACTGATGATGATGTAAATATTTATTAACATTTTCTTCACTTATAAAGCAACAGGAATTACGAGTTGTTTTAAAATAATCCACGTTGGCCAGAATAGTTGTCTCATCAATCTGGTCAGGATTAAATTTATTCCTCCAAACTGCGGCCTTTCAAAGATCTACAACATGTAAGATATTAACTGTTCATCACTGTTACACAGAACCTATAAAGATCTGAACCATCGCTTTATGCACTAAAAATATCTGATAACTGTGGATGAAAATGCCGCCAACAGGACTGATTATTCTCGCAGATTAATTCTCATTTAGACTCTGAACAAGTGCAATTTTATGCTGTGCGACACACCGATGGATATATTGTTCCAAAAAATAAAAATAAATAACATTTGTAATTTTATAGCATTGTTTTTTATTATTTACAAGCTATTTAAAATTATGTGATTTTATAGCATTTATTTACTTATTTTAGTAACTTTGGATGGAAGTGTTTGCTTCATTGTTGTCATGTACACTGTGAGGCATTTTTTAACAACAATCCAAATTTAATCAACCTTTTGACGTTAGCTTTTAGACCTGATCTGTTATTTGTTCTCTTCTGTTTGGTAAAGATTATTAAAACAAACGAGGATGAGGAAAAACAACAACTAACATCACAAAGAAGGAAGGGGATGGAGTCTGCTGTTCCCCGCTACTTTTCACCTCGCTGACGTCAGCTCTTTGTAAAACCACACACCACTCATATATTACTCATTCACACAAATATACCAAAAGAGTCAAACACATGGAAGAAAAAGGACGGTTTTCACATGCCAGCAGGAAAAAAAACAGCTAATTTTAAAGACAGAAACTTAAAAACAGCATTCATCAGGTTACTGATCCGGAGTGTGTGTGCTCAGAACCATCTCTGCTTTCCAAAAACTGATGTCACTTCAGGAACAAAGTCAAGAATGAAACAGATTTAATGATAAAAAGAGCACCCAATGTGCCATGATAGTTATTGCTATTGCTGGATAAGACCATTTATCCACTGGAGATGGCAGCATATGAACAGTATGTCACTGTCAAGACCAAAAAAAAAAAAAAAAAAAAGTCAGTCCTTGTTTATTTATAGCTGTTATTGTGTGAGTGAACCGGGTTTCCTTGCAAACTATTTTTATCCGTGTTTATGCATTTAGACACAACGTTCAGTTTCTGCGTGTTCAGCCAGTCTGATGAAACTGAAATAAAATGATGGCTCAAAACCTTGATGACCCAATGTTGCTCTAGAAAACACACACAGTTACACAAGCAGAAGCCTGCACACACACACAAACACACAGAGCAGCAGAAAAGATAACATCCTGACATATGAAGGCAGGTACAAGGAAAAAACTCTGATTGGTCGGAAGTATATAGCAGACTATTTTATATATATGTATATATGTGTATTAAATACATACATACATATACACACACATCAGTGGGATATTTGAATTAGAAATAAGTCCTAAGTAGCAGAGATATTGACAATTTTCTCACTATTGTCTAGAGTTCTGGATGATTCTGAAGAGCGGTTGAGGAGATCTAGAATGCTGCTACTGGAGGAGGCGGAGGCCTTAATGGGGGACACCAGATGTAAGAAAAAAATAAAAGGACAGATGGGACTCAAAGGAGGATGGGTGGTGAGAAGGAGATCAGCTGAAAACTGAGGGTGTACTGGATCTGGTTCCCTGTAAACCAGGCAGTACTGCAGGAGGTGGGGGTGTGGACCGGCCGGTCAGACGTGCCAGTTGAGACAAAAGGGAGAGTGAATCCGCTGGTTTCTGGGCTTTCTGGGAACAAAAGAGAGACAGAGACAGATAAGAACAACCGTACCGTTAACCTCATTAAATTATTTGTAACCCCCACTCCCCCCAATCATCTCCACCAAACCACCAAGGCAAAAGAAGTCAAACTTTTTCTTTAAAACAAAAAAACACCAATTTAAGAGTGAATGAAGCTCAAACATTACAACTTTACATTAATGTTGTTTTAGACTGGATTATTAAAGATTATAGTTATTCAGTCCTGCTTGAAAAGGATAGTTGAAGCACCTGTATTTTACCTGTATATAAACTTTACTTAGCACAACCTGGGAAGTATTTTTTTAAGAGTCAAGCTAACTACTGTACTCAGATGAGGGTGTATCTGACTGAAATGGTATTACTGTAGCCTATAAACTAAACACAAGAATGGAGGATGAGAATTAAGGCCATAAAAGACGAGCTCCCCTTAAAGGCTGGCTGCAGTAAAGGTCTAAATTCCTGCTCCTTCATGTAAAAAAATGTGACATTTTTCTCGCAAAAAACACTTTGGATAATTTTTTAAAGTGTTGAATTTAGTTGATGTAATTAGTTCTTATACTGCTGAATCTTCAAATATGCTATTTGAGTCTGAAATGGAGTGCCGTGGTCCACAGTAAATGACAATGGGACCACGTGTTGGAGAGTTAGGAGGGTGTGTAGGTGAAACCATTAGTATCAATGTGTGTAGGCAGGACCTTTCATATCTGATAGTCTAGATACAGTTACAGTCAGATGCAAAGATAAGGCTGTTTAAAGGTTTATTACTACATCGAGTTTGCTTGATCAGCTCTAAAATGAAAAAAGATGGAAATCCACCTTTAGACGGCTCTTTTCTCAGCTGATTCTCTGTAATAGCTCCAAATGCTCAGGCCCACAAGTAAGATACTGGTCACTCAGAAACAACCTCACTTTAGAAACTACGAATTACTACCCCTTTAAACCGTAAACACAACTTGTTATTCATCAGCGACATGCTGTGCGATTAGCTGAGTCTGAATGCATTAGCCATCAAACTCTTAACAGGTTACAATTCAATTCAGTTTATTTATATAGCACCAAGTCACAACAGAAGTCATCTCTGGGCACCGAACAGAAACATTCATGAATATAAAAGGTAAGTTTACAACATTATTCATCTGAGGAGCAGACTGCTTTGAGTTTAATGTCATCACAGGCTCTCATCTTGAACAAGCATGAAGGTGACAGTGGAAAGGAAAAACTCCCTCATGAGGAAGAAACCTTTACCAGAACCAGACTCAGGACAAGCGTCCATTTGCTTCGACCGGCTGAGTTTGAGAGGAACAGATACATATGATCTCTCCTACTAACTTCAATCAAGACTCTGGCAGCAGCATGTTGGATTAACTGAAGATGTTTAAAAGAAATATTTGGACACCCAAATAATAAACTATTGCAATAGTTTAGTCTAGACGTGACAATGAACCAGTTTTTCTGCATCATTGTTAGATGTTGCTAATTTTAGTGATATTACACAGATGGAAGAAAGTGGTTCTAGTAATGTTTTTAATGTGGGGGATAAAAGACATGTCCTGATCAAAAATCACACTAATATTTTTAACATTAGAGCTGGAGGCCAGATTTATGCCATCAAAGAGGGAGGAAGACTTAAAAATTAATTCCTAAGATGCTCAGGTCCAAAAACCACAACATCCATCTTGGCTGTGTTCAAAAGCAGAAAATTTAGGGTCATCCAGGTTTTTATGTCTTTAAGACATGCTTGTAGTCTAAGTAGCTGATTGGATTCGTTTCATGGACAAATATAACTGTATATCATCAGCGTAACAATGAACATTTATCCCATGCTGTTTAATAACATTACCTAATGGAAGCACACATAAGGTAAAGAGTAATGGTTTAAGCACTGAACCCTGAGGAACTCCGTTACCTGATGAGCAGCAGTCCAACAGAACTTCAGTCTTCTAGAGCCACCATCCCTTTGACCGGGTCCTTCACTCTCATCTGAAACACACAAGACAGAGATGAACAGGACCCTTGACTGAATTATTTTAGTAAAACTGGAGAACTTAAAAGATTTGGTGCCTGATAAAAGAAGTCATTCTTAGCTGATCAATGTTTAATCTTACCTCGTCCAGCTCCTTACGCGTCTCCTCCTCCATGCGGCGAATGTCCTCCATACTCAACTCGATCCACTTGTCAACCCAGCAGAACAGCTGGCGGTGGAAGTTAGTGAACAAGCGCTTCTCTTGCTGTCAGACAACAGTTAAGAAAATAGTCATGTTGTGTTTGAAGAAAGCTATTCCTGTTTTTTTCTGTTTATCCTGTGTGCTGCGCATGACACGTGCACAACTCATGTAACACACAGACAAGTGAAATAAAACACATTTCCTGACTATCCCTGCTGTGTTGAATTTGACTGGTATCTGGATGTCACAGCAGGAAGTGACAGACAGTGGCCGAACCTTTTGGATGAAGTTCTCCACTTTGTTCTGCAGACCCCACCACTTGAACTTGACGGTGACCAGTTTGTAGGCACACATGTGTGGGCAGTCTTTCTTGTTAGGAAGCTCCTTCTGCGTGCACACAAACACACACAGAGACACGCTGCTTATAGTCAACTAAACGTTGTTCATTAATACATATATAACACAACGTTTGATTATTGTGTGAATGTTTATGAAGCATTCACACGATTGTGGTCCATTTATCATCTGTACGTTATTTGGCGCGATTCTTCTCTTGCAGTTTTCAAGTTATTTCAACAAATCATGCATCAATAAGTTCAGCTCTTTCAAAACAATGACTTTTGGTACTGGTGCAAGTTTAGCTTGTTGAAATATTTAGACTTTTCTGCCTTTTTTCTCATACAAAATGAATTGAGCTCATTTTACATCCTTCAAATCTTTAGATCTGTTTACAACCTTTTACTGCTCCTTTTTACATTTTGTTCAGCTTCTTTGTGCAAATTTAAACTGTTTTTCAGCTACTTTCAGCTGTTTTTTCAGCTGTTTTGTTCTCCTTTAAGTTTCTTTCTGCTAAAACATTTCTGTGCTTCTTCTAACTTATTTCTGCTCATTTCAACTTGTTATGCTTATTTCAGTTGATTTCTGCAACTTTCAGCTTTTTCTGCTATTAGTTCTACTACTTTAGCTGTTTTTATGCTAATTTAAGCTTTTTCAGCTAATTGCACATTTTTTGCATTCATTTAAAAAAAAAATTCAGCTTAATTCAACAAAAAAATGTGCTCTCTCCACCTTCTTGTAAATTCAGCTTCTTTCTGCCTTTTTAGCTACTTTTCAGCTATTTTCAGCTTTTTTCAGATAATTTCCACTTTTTTATGCTCATTTCTGCTTCTTTCAGCAAACGTTCTTTCTGATTTCTTCTGGTAATTTAAGCTTGTTCTACATTTTCAGCAACTTTTTATAGCCTTTTTAGCTGTTTTTAGCTGTTTTCAGATAAATTCAAGTTTTTTGTGGTAATTTTAGCTACTTTCAACTTAATTAACTTCTTTCTGCTAATTTCAGCTTTTTTTCTGCTATTTCATCTCCTTTTAAGCTTTGTGCTAAGTTCTAAGTGCTAAGTAAGGGGAGTGGTGGCACAGAGGTTAGAGAGGTGGGCCTGTGATCGGAAGATCGTCGGTTCACGCCTCGGTACCGACAACATCAAAAATGTGGGCGTGGGTGGGGTAGGTGAAGCACCCACACTTCCCCCCACCCTCATTCGTTCCACTCTGGGCCCATGAGCAAGGCCCTTAACACCCCCATCTGCTCCCCAAACAGGTCTCTCTTGAAAATGAGTTCTCGTGGCTCAATGAGACTACCTGTATAAATAAAGGGTAAATGAAAATGAAAAAAAAAAGTTAGCTTTTTCAGCTAATTCCACTTTTTAAAGCTAATTTCAGCTTCTTTCATTTCCTTTTGGGAGTTTAAGCTTCTTTCTGCTTTTTGAGCTTTTTTTTTTGTGTCTTTTGCTTGATTCAGCTTTTTTAGTTAATTTCCTAATTTATGTGCTAATTTCTTCTTTTTTAAACCTAATTCAGAAAATATGTGTTTTTTCTGCTTTATTTTGCTAACTTAGGCTTGTTATTCAATTTCAGCTACATTTCAAGGTCCAAGGTTCTTTAATATCATTCACATCACATGTGGTACATACGGTGGAACGAAATTGTATACACAGTGTATTTCAGCATGTTTTTAGCAAATTTCAGCAGCTTTCTGCAAGTTCTTCAGAAATAAGCATTCACACTGCATTTTCACAGGAAACAGTTTCTCTAGTTAATCAGATGTTTTTAGCGCTGCACCCACAGTTTATACAAATATTACCTCCAACACCACACAAAGTTACATCTATGAATCTATTTTCTATGTTCTCCAACTTGATAGCAATTTAACTTGTAGAGAAAAACTAAAGATCTGAATTTAAAATCAGCTAAAAGGAATCTTTATTGGCCTAAAGGACTTTCAATAACATACTGACTTGAATATTTAAGTGGTCCTATTAGATTTCTAGGAACTATCAAAAGAGACATCAAGAAAATTGATAGACATTATCAGTTCCATGTCAATATGTTGAAATATTTGTTCAGGGAAAATTAGCTCAACTTTATAGCTGCTAAACAACAACAGTCACCGAGGGTGACGACTTTCATTTAAAACAGAATACGGGCTAAAGCATAGGAAGGGATGCATATCACCCACTGTCTTTAATGCCACAGATTTAAACTAAGATAGTCTGACTGCATTTTCTGTTGGCTAAACTGGATTAGCTGTGGCAGCCATCTTTATTTGAACTAACAAAAAGTTATTCAAGTGTGGATGTTTTTATGATTGTCTCATTAAAATCTGGCAAGAGGGTTAATTAGATATTTTGCTAACAGAGAGTTAGTTAATGTGAAAGTTTTAACCCCAGATTTCACCTGATCTGTTCATGCTCAGGGTTTGTGTTGGGGATGACTCTCAGCTACTACCACACTAACTCATTATCTGTAAACTGAATGTGTCAGAGATATTTTGTGTTCGCCAAGTTTGTCCACTTTTTTGTTTTTAGCAGGGGGTGAAATCTAAGAACTCTTGACAAGAATAAAGTTAAAACACACAAAATAACCCCCCCCAACATCCTGACATTTACTGTCTCTCAGAACCCCCCCCACCACCACCACCCTCAAGTATCATCAAAAGAACCTAAATGTGATTATTCACCAGATATTTTCCATCCTCTAAAAACCAAGAACAGATAAAAACCACCACAGAAACAATAACACACTTGTATAATTAAACACCATACACGTGCATTCATTAAACCAGTGCTTCTCAATTATTTTCTGTTACCCCCCCCAGGAAGACGTAAACATGTCGTGCCCCCCAACTCTCTGCTGTGACTGTAAATAGCATTGTCTATAAAACTGTTATAAGTACACCTCTGCATAACTTTGAAAAAAATAAAAATAAATATATATATATATATAGATCACCTTACAACAAAGAACAACTTTATTAACATTGTCTGTAACAGAAAATAATTAAAGTGCATCAATTTGCCTGAAAAAAAAAAAAAACTTAAACCTTATTTAAACTGTAAACATTTTTGACCATTTGATACTGAAAAATAAAGTTAAATGTAACCAATAAATAATAATAAATTCGACTTGATCAGCAACATTTTAACTAAAACACTTTGACCTACAAAAAAAAAAGAATAAAACAATTTGTGCAGATTTTAAAAAAATCTAAATGAGGAAGTCAGGATCAACGAGCACACTCATCGATAAAACTAAAACATTTTGTCAACGCGAAAGAGGGGGCAGGTGTCGCTCTCGCTTGAGTTTACTCTTTGTTGCATGCGCGCTGTGCGTGATGTGCAGAGCGCATGGACATAGCACACATGCAGCTGAGGTATCGGAGTTTGTTTATTTATCGTCTCAGCCGCAGAGGGGAGCGACACGGTTCAAGCATGGCTCCCAAAATGACAAGTGATAAGAAAAAAGTTATTTAAGTTGCTTATTACAGTAAATTTAATTTATAGGCAATTTGTCTAAATCTTATCAGTTAGAAAAGTAACAACAGAACATTCTTATTATTGGAATATACGTTGAAGAACACGGGATATCTATTGTCATGAGGACACACACTTTGTAAGGAAAAATTTAAACTGGCCAATCTCATTTCTGTCCTCCCTGGTTCTAGAGACCCAAAACTTCATAAAGTGCAGACAAAAAGACAAATATATATAAAACTAATAGGAGCGGACATCGGGCTGCTGTTTAATATACCATATTATTTTACATTATTAACGTTTAGCGTATATCTTAGATCCTTGTATGTTTCTTTTAATACTTTATATTTGTGATATTTTTAGGTGTCACTGGGACCTTGAGTACACAATTTTGTCCCACCTCATATACCACATGTGATGCGAATGATAACAAAGACACTTGAACTTGAAATACATCAGTTTCATTTGTTTAGTATTTACTTTGGCCACTGTGCAACAATAACATGTCAGCGCCTGAATATAAATGATTACAGATGAGTTCTTCATTTTACAGTACAACTTTGTACCTTCCAGTCCGGTCCTAGAGGACCTCGTCCCGTCTTCACTGACTTGTACCTGCATGGATCCTCCTCTGGTTTGTAGTCCTGATGAGAGACAGGACAGAAACCAACATGGCTGAAGCGACACACCAAGGCTGCTTCGATCATCTCATGGACTTCAGGTTAACATCTTTACCTTTGGCTCGACCTGGCTTCGGTCTGCAATATCAATATAGACCACATCCACCTTCTTCCAGGTTTCTGCATCCAAACCATGGACCTGCAACAGAACCACAGAGCTGTTTGGCCTCCCAGAAGATCAAATGATACGCCGACGATACGTTTCTCTACTGGTTAGAGGAGTTAGATTAGGAGACAACACAAAATGGTAGAACATGAAGAAATGCTTTGCATGCAAAGGCTCAAGATTTTTAACATTTTGAGTTACAGCCATTTTTAATAATAAGTTGTGGTGGCCAACTTGAATCAGGGTGACTTTAAAGGTTATTTAGTTTTACATATTTTTCCAGTGATGGGTTTCAATACAATTTATAAAACAGACACAGACAAATACATTATCATCCACCTGTCCTGGCAGCAGGTGATAACAACGAGACAACTAGGATTGTAAAAGGTTTGTGAATTTTATTGTTTAAAGTATGGATGCACAATATTATCAGCATGGTATCGGTATCATACGATATTAGCATTAAAGTTCAATATGGGACATCGGCCAATCCATCAAAATATCTCACCGATATAAAAGGCGCTGTTTTTGTATGACAACCCAGTGACAAGGATGCCTGTAGCGGCAGTACAACGTGATGACGTCATGCGCACCTACCTGCTCTCACGACGGAGAGGAAAATTCAAAATGTCGGCAGTGTGGTATGTTATTTTATTTTTTTTGTGGAGAGGATGTTGGATTCTGAATATTTTTGGACTACGTTGAGCCTCACTACATCGTCCCCAGTCAGAGATATTTTTCCGACCTAGCCTTACCTGAGGTACAAGCTGTCATTTCCAATGTCATTGAGAAGCTAATAACCGATAGCACTTGGGTGAGTTTTACCACAGACATTTGGACGTCAAGTGTTAGCCCCGTTAGCATGATTAGTCTTACGGCACAATGGATAGACAAAAACTTTGAACTTAAAAAGGCTGTCCTTCATGCACAAGAGTACAGAGGATCCCACACTGCAGCTAGGAACCTGGAACAAGCCTCCACAAGTGAGACAGCATCACAGGTGACTAATGCTAATAAATAATATTTAACACTTTTCATTTAATATGTTAAAGTGCTATGCATATGGCTGTTACTGAATATATGTCACCAGCTCTTACAGCTGTTACACAATTTTTGTAGCCAATAAGCCTAAACAAGAGGGCTGACAAAGGAAAGTATATTAAAAATTTTGGTATCTGTATCAGATATCGGCCAAAAAGCCAAAATTGTGCATCCCTAGTTTAAAGTCGTACCAAACCAAGAGCAATGATAACTAATAGGTGTGAAACGGTGTTCAGACAAACATGCTGTTGGCTCCACGGCTCGTGGTCTAATTTACGAACATTTTCCTGGTGTCCCATGTCAGGTTTGTGCCACGTCTCGATCTTGATCAGGAAGTTATCTTTCATATACTCGTTCTGTAGAGAGAAAAAATGTGAAGACAGGAGAGAAATTCTACAGAAAAAACAGGGAAGAAGTGCAACGGAAACGACGGCGCTCTCGTCGTGACACGCACACACAGAGTCACGGCGTCTAACTGCCCCTGCTGCTGTGTCACTGAAAACGATCACGTTTCTCTCTCAGCTTTCAGTGTGAGCTGCCTCCTCCATGACCACCGACGCCGAGCGGATCGATCGTGTTGATTTCTACATTTATGTTCCAAGCAAAAATAAAGGAAATACTCACTGTGATAACTGCAGGAGCAGAGGAAGGAAGAAAGCAGGAGCGCACAGGGAGAAGAGAGAGAATTACACATATAATCCAACTGAGCAACGTTTAAGAAACACGTTATCTGACTTTGAATGTTGAGAGAACAGTTTGTTATGTGTTCAGGCTCAGTTTGTGCCTCTGAATGTGTCTTCCTGACAGATGGCTGCCTGGCAGCTGGCACCGGGTACGAGTGTGTGATCTTAGCCTGAAAGGCTCAAATGATTGCGCGGCTCCTCTGACTGGACTTTACTAAATTATTCAGCTGCTCCTGGAAGGTGACGGGCATCCAAAGGCACAAAGAGAGGAGACAGAGGAGGAGCTGCCTCCAGAGCCCGGCAGCATTTCTGACCTGAACTCTGTCGCTCACGTTTACAGGATCTAAATGTACAAAACTGTGTTCAGCACCCTCATGTCTCCCATCTGACAGTCATCCACCAGGCTAATGAAATCGCTGAGTGTGAACATTATCTCTTGTTGTCCAATGAAGCGAAACGTTCTTATCAGGGACCAAGAGTCACAAATGCTCCAACTCAACACAAGTCCTAACGTTCACACCCGCTTCAGATGTTATCAGCCATTAAATGGCCATTATTAGTTGTTATCATCCCCATATGTAGCGGTCAGACTGCCCCTCCTGTACCTCCTAGTGGGTTTAAAGGTACTTTGTTAGCGATGATAATAGGCTCTGTTTTTAGCTTTGTTAGCGCTCATAATAGCTTCATGTGGTTAGGTTTAGGGTCTTGGTTAGGTTTAGGGTCTTGGTTAGGTTTAGGCACAAGGGTAAGGGGGTTAAGTTTAGGGTTGGTCCTCTGGGTCAAGTGTGAGCTTACGTTTAGGAAAAGGGTTACAGAAGTTGACCCCCCCCCCCCCCCCCCAAAAAAAAGACACTTTCTGGTTTAGCCCCGTGCAACGCTGCCCATTATCAGCAGTAATAACGATAATAACGTACCTTTAAACCTACTAGGAGGTAGGTGGGGCAGTCTCACCGCTACATAGGGGAATGATAACAGTTAATAACGGCCATTTAATGGGCTGATGACATTCGAAGCAGCTCATGTTCAGATGTTAGCTTCAAATGTAGCAAATAAACTGCACTGACTTTGAGTGGTGGATTAAAACAATTAAATAATTAAATATCTAATTGTGTACATTTGAGTGTGCTGCTCTACCAAGTGTGTGTGTAAGTGTACCTGTGCGACAGTAAGGGTATGCGTTCCAGGCTTTCTCGTGGATGTTGAGGGCTGAAGACGGAGCCAACATTCTGACGAATGACGGTACTTTACTGTCGGACAAAGACAGAAGGAATCGAGGTAAAAACTCTAACGTGATGGTGATAAGTAACGCGACACAAAGCAGAAAAAAAGCTGCAATCTGCGTAAATGTACAAACATTCAAAAGAGAAGTAATGCTAACTGAACATGGCCTTCCACACCAAATTTCCTATGAAGCATTTGTGAAATTATTACTATTTGAAATACAGCAGTCCCTCGCTACGTCGCAGTTTGACATTCACGGACTCAATCTTTCGTCGTTTTTCAACAATCATCAACTTTAATATTACTCACGTGATTGGGAAGGTACAAGATAAAAAGTTAACAAAAAATAAATAAAATCTGACACCAACAGTTCATGCTCAATAATCCAGATTACAAATCCAACAGTCAGGTCATATGGACGGTTTCTTTTTTTTAATTACTTCAGACAGGTGTCGCCATTTTGTAGTTTTCTTTCAATAAGCCTACACTGTAAGGCAAGTAAGAACTACTGTACACTACCCAGAAGCCAACAGTGCTTCCGGCTGCTGCTTTCTGCTGAAATGGGGAGAAATTTTGTGACGCGAATCTATGCTATCTATTAATCGCGGCTGTTTGACCACGCGCTAACCGGCCGGTTGAAAGAGGTTAAAAAAAAAAAAAAGAAAGTCCAGATGGACCACTGCCAGTGACCCACCTAAAGCGTAACTGGACTCAGCTGTTGCGTCAGAAGCTGCGCGCGGCTGACGGACCCAATTTGGATCATCAGCCTAACGCGTCTGCCAACCGTAAATGACTATACTAACTATAATATTACTGTATAATAACTATAATAATCCGCTGACTCTTGTTAATAAACACGAATTCTTATATCTTCCATTTTTATAAATACGTTTTTAAATCATGTCAAACTGATTTGCTTACAAAAGCAGTAAAAGCTTAATAAATTTAAAAAAAGGTTGTTTTGTTTCGGGTTCGGGCCTGTAATCACAGTTAATTTGTCATTTTCGAGTTGGGCTCGGAAGAAATGATACGGGTTCAGGTCGGGTCGGATTTTTTTTTAGGTCCAAATGCAACTCTAAGCTCAATTATCCACGTGCACATCAACCTGGATGGGGCGGTGGGGCTTCGTCGCTGCAGGATAGTTCTGCCGAACTGGAACCAAGCTGCTGGTCTGCAGAGTGGATGAGTAAAATTTTGCAGTACTGTACAGTACATATACTTGTACTTATACCACATATGCTGTTACAATTATGTAGGTTCAAGAACACTGCAGGAGTGTGGGAAGGGTTTATAAAGCCTTCAAATTTATATACATACTAAACTAAATATAGTGTTTCTACTTCATGGTTTTTCACCTATTGTGGGGGTGTGTGGAACGTAACCCCCGTGATAATGGAGGGACTACCGTACTTAGCTTTGTCGGCCATGTTTTTCTCATTGAAAATGAATGGAGCTCTCTTCACGTCCTTCAAACCCTTTGTGTTGTTTACATCGTGTTACTGCTCATTTCAGGTGTTGTTCTGGTTCAGCTTTTGTTCCAGCTTTGTTCTACTAATTTCAGCTTTTTCAGCCATTTTTCTGCTCATTTCAGCTATATATGTTGATTCAAAACTGCACAATTTCTCAACAAAAGACATTCTTAGCTGAAAACTCTGGCATTAAAAGCAGCAGGCGATGGTAAGGAGGGTCTTTACATTAGTGTCCATTCTTCACATTTTTTAATGTGAACTTCAGCTGCAAACATCAAAGAACATTAGCTACACATTCATGTCGCTCCAAGCCCGGTAGTTTGAGTTGATATTTTCCCTTGTCCTGATTTATTAACAAGATAACGAAAGAAAAGTGTATAAATGGATGTAAAGCCAGTTTTAAAGACCTTCGAGGAGAAAATGAATGAGTTCATTCTGCATTAACCTCTATGACCCTCATGCGGAGGTTTCAGTGTGCAGATGCTCACCTTTGCAAATGGTAGATTTTGTGTGTGTACTGTCCTTTCTCTCCGTCCTTCTCATAGGGTTCGTTCTTCAGCACCTCCACCCCCTCACCTCCACCCGTCTCATTCTTACTGGCTTCAGCCACAGAGTACAGCTGGCCAACCTGGTACTGGAAAACACAAAACAATACGATGACGTGCTGAAAACTGCTTAAAAAGAAGTTATGCCCTCGCTTTTTGTATTGAACGTTTTTTGAATATGCCCTCACTGTTGCATGCTGAGGTTAACAAATACCTAAATGTTTTATGTTAACTCAAAGAGTGTGTTTTGTCTATTTTACATTTTAGACTATCTTTCTGGATCATGTCTTTATGCTCATCACTTGCTCTTCACAGTTTTTACTCGTCACGTGTTGAAGTACTGGTAAACTGGTGTTTCTCTCACTGTTTATCTAATTTTCCCTATTCCTCAGCAGTTCATTGTACAGTTTAAACACGGGACAATGGCTTCTTTCATTTCTTATTAATCTCTAATCTACATTACGACAGCTGCACAAAGCAGAATCAGAACATTCCTTCAGTTTTCAGAACTTACAATTAGGCTTCATTCGTCAATATTTTAGTAAAGACTATGAAAAGATTAAAAAAAATTCTAATCAATGGAGACATTATAATCATCTTTTGAAGGATGAGTTTTTAATGCACCTGAGCTACTAAGACATCAACTGACTGATTGATGATTTAAGGTTTTTTTCTGTCCAAACAGGTCTCACTTGTAAATTAGTCTTTGAGGCTCAATGTGATTTATCTGTTTAAATAAAGGTTGAATGAAGGTATTGATTAATTTGTTGATTGTGGTGTATTGGTTCCTGAAATCAACTAAATGCACTGCACCCCAAAGTCAATGAGGAGCCGACCTAAAAACAGTTGTTAGTGTTAGTTGACTTTGACATGTTGTTCTTAATGAGACGGTTATCACACTAAGTCTGTTACCTCCATTTGTCAAGAAGAATACAGGAAATCAGCTCCTCAATACAGCCCATTTGTCAGATTCTCCTTTTTCATAATGTGCTACACATTTTCAACAAGATACAGATGTGGGCTGCAGGCAGAACAGTCAACCACATACACTACTGTCTACAAAAGTGTGGAGGTTCTGGACTAAAACCACAGAAGTAAATTATTTGTCTTTTAAGTTATGAGATGAATCAGACTTGCTGGTCTGGTATAACCACAGATACTTCACAGACTGATGTCTGGATGGCTTTAAAAGCTAGCTGAAGGGATCAGTCTTATTGCTATGTACAGGGTGAGACAGAGTGAGACATAGTGAGCTAGTGAGACAAAGTGAGATAGTGTGACAGAGTGATGCAGGGTGAGAAAATAAGACAGGGTGACACAGAGTGATGTAGTGTGACAAAAAGAGACAGATTGAGACAGAGTGTGATAGTGAGACAGAGTGAGGTAGAGTAAGACTATGTGAGAAAAAGTAAGACAGTGAGAACTATGTGAGACAAAGTAAGATAGTGAGACAGAGTGAGGCAGAGTGAGACAACGACAGGGTGAGATAGTGATACAGTGTGACAGAGTGAGGCAGAGTGAAACAGATTGGGACAGAGTGATATAGTGAGACAACATGAGATAGTGAGACAAGTTAAGGCAAAGTGAGACAAAAGTGAGGCAGAGTGAGAGTGTAAAACAGAGTGAGACAAAGTAAGACAGGATGAGATAGTGAGACAGAGTGAAATAGTGAGAGGCAGAGTAAGACAAAGTGAGACAAA